AGAATTACGGCTGACCCCCAATAGTCGAAGATTCGATGCTTCGATGGGCGGTGCCTTATTCAACTGTCAATCTCACAGTCGAAGTTTTGAAGCGAAACAAGGATCATGCCATTTTGGCGATATGCTGGTGCTCAACGTCTGATTTTACATAGAACTACCAGTTTTCTCCCAATAAGCTAATATACAGCCTACTACAATATACATTTCAACATATAATGCTGTAAATAAACATGTAAAAGGAATAAAACTTTCAATAAATGTTTTTAAAGTGCGTAAATAAATCCTAAATTGTAACCTAACCCTGGGTCATCAGTGCACATGTGTAGGCTTAGCGTGTATGTGTGCAGTTAGGGTGTAGTGGCAGAAGAGGAACACTTGCTGAAGAGACTGAGCCCCGGCTTCACTGGTGTTGAGCCAAGTTGTCCGCACCTCGTGGGACTTTCAGATAATTTATCACCGATGATGAACCACACAAAGAATATTTTATCGTTTTTAAATAGCCGGCTACTTGAATAGACCTGCAAGGAACCGTGACGTGCATACAGTAATCGGCAGCACGGCATGCATGCAAAACTGAAGGCAGGAGAGAGAGAGAGAGAGAGAGAAAAGGGTCTTCAAAAAGCCTCAGTTTAGCTGGAAATTTACAGTGTAAGTTGAATGAACAGAGACTGCAGTTCTGCAGCTTCTCAAGATTAAAGCGGAGCTACCGTGAGCTACCCCCCCACCCCAATCGCCGCACACAAAAACACACATGATTCAACTATCAGTCGACTATGGGCAGGTTCTGATGATTCTGATTTGACTAAATCCTTAATCGGGGACAGCCCTAGTTAGAATAAATTAAACTATAGCATTTACACCTCGAGAGTGTAATGTTTTTGGAAATTTCACTACTTTATCCAGGCACGTCGACTAATCACCAAGAGCAACATGTCATAGACAGGAACATTCCTCTTTCCTGTCTTCCCACCTGCTAACAAGTTATTGGCGCCATAATGCCCTAAAAGTAATATAATTTCTTTTTACTAAAGTGGTTGCCGTTTGGAAAACAATATCAACATGGAAAATCTTTACAAAAAGGAATAATGATATTTCCTCCTTCAGCTTCAGGAGCCCCTCATCAAGGCACCCACAGATGCTGCAGCGGAGAAGACCAGCAGGCACCAGTTAATAGCCAGTTGCACTGGCCACCTCCAAGTAGATGTGAATGTGTGCAGTGGCCTCCATATGAAGCAGGGTGTTGCTGAAAAGAGCATGCATCCCTGTAGTAGTACCCTTTCCCTGGATAAATCAAAGGTTAAAATATAGATCCATCCTCAGGCTGCTCTCCTCCTTCACATCCCTCCTTTCTCACTCTGCCTCCTCATCTAGCCTGTGCATTACCTCATCAGAGGAGGATCTGCCTAAAGCCGCAGCGGTCACACAACAGACAAAAGCGCTCATCTCCAGGAAGCCGCTGCCGCTGCCTGTGGTTTTGGAGAGAGGAGAAGAGAGGGGAAAAAGTGACTCAGTCCCACGGCTCCTTTCTTCTCTCTGCCGACTTAGGGATAAACGGAGGGATAAAGCGCAGGGGGAGATAATATTTAGAGCAGGCCCCATTTCAAGGGCAATAGAAGAGAGAAAGTGGGGTATGAGCCTGGGTGGTTTGGGAAGTAGCCATGAGGGTCGGTCTATACTGTTACTGGCAGAGGGCCTCGCACCGTGGATTAACGTGTAAGTGGGGAGGGACCGCTGCTGGCCCGGCGCGGCCCGGCCCGGCCCTGCCTTGAAGCCCAGCCGCTGCAGCTCCACGAGCCTCTTCAAAGCAAACCAGATGGGTCTCAGACGGGATGTTGATGAGGCATGAGTGTGCAAAACACAAACATGCATGCAAGTACAAACACAAGTAAATTGACACAGACACAGCCTGGAAAACAACTAAATACATAACACACAAACATATGTACATGTGCTGGTGAGCTGGCACGCATGAACGAATGTGCTGACTTGAAGCATGGCCGTAGCAGATCGCTGAAGTTCAGTTCTCTTTTCCCATCACTAAATGGATTTCCTTCCAAGGCATTCTGTCAACTCAAGACCTAAGTGGACATTTCATATGTGTGGACAAATCAGATCAATTATCTAAATGTCCAAGCTCGAGAGGACATAATAGCTCACTGTTAACATAAGGTTAGGTACTGAGAAACTACACTAAATTTTGTTAGATGTTGCCCATTAGCAGCGCTGATTTGTCTTACACAGCAATGCAGTAAGGTTCACATAAAAGCTGAAGTAAAAAGTAGAGAAGGACATTGTTTTTGGGTAAGCCAAACAGGTAACCTCAGTGAGTTCATTAGCTCATTAACTCATTATAAAACAGCAAACACAAATCAGCCCAACAGCTGCTTGCTATCTGGTCACTATCTGGTCTAACTCTTTGCAAATGACTGACATTACAGCAACCATGTGTAACAGAGCTCTATAAATAGGGCTGTCATGATGTATAAAGTGGTTGAAATATTTTCTCAAAATATTTCTCACTGCTACTTCCAGTTGTATTTGACAGGTTAAGCATATATATCTCAGATTAAAATTTCTATATCTCTAAATGCCACACTAGAGTGAAACATTGTGTAAATTTATGGCTAAATGAGCTTTGAACTTATTCTCCTAATCTTCACTAAACAGATTTTGGATACACAAATAAAAATCGGAATCTAGTTCACCATGCTCTGACAGTAACCACAGTGTACCCAAATATGAACTTGTTTGAAGACAAATTTTGTGAACTGTCCAGTGATGTCAAATCATCTAAAACATTAATCATGGGCACACCCCAGCTTTTCTGATCAAAGCCACTAGATACCGTATATACAGTATAGGTTAAGGAAATCCTGCAACGCACAGCACCCTTTTCCTTCCAAAGTCAAATAAAACAAAGATAACATAAATTGTTGCTGGCACGACATGATCTGTACCCTATAAATACTGTAATTTTGTTAGGAGGGTCCACTTGTCATCTTACCGCCACATAATTAGATTTGAAAAGCAACTGCATGTTAAAAGACACAATAATGTGATTTCAAGTTTCCAGATGAACTGATGAAATTAAGGAAGTTTGATGGAATTAAACGTGGACTTAAGTGGTCTGGTTTTCCCCAATCATGACACAATTTGTTTCTTCAAATGCAGTGCAGTTAGGCAGAGGAAATAAGGCCTGGAATAATTACTCTGATGTTTGCAATATTTTATTGCTTTCATAAAATATCATCTTCCAAAGCATCAAAAAATATCTGTCACCAGACAATATGCTACTGCTGGGTGGGGGGCTCCCTACATGGGCTGCAAAACTTATGTCAATTGACTGAAGTCGCGTTCAGGCGAGAGGAGTGACAGGCCATTTCCTTCCATTAATTTAAAACGAAGACAAAACAAAGAGTTCAGCTGTTAAACTACCACAAGAATGACAGTTACCAACAAAAAATACTATAAACATTCTAAGCAAACACGTTTAAAATAAATCAATCACAAATGGCATACTTATTAGCAAATTTTAACAAAACTCCCATCACCGTCATGCACCATGGGAATTCTGAGGCACCGACGTAGACTACTAAGGTTATCCCCAGACTCACACCGGCGGTGGCTGTGCCACATTTTTGATCCGTCCTCAGCCCGGCGTCAACTCACACTGGAAGTGTTTCAGAAGTGTTTCAGCAGTGGAGCGTTTACCTTGCCCCACATTCTTGACTTTTTAGTTTATTTGTATTTTTTGTCACATAAACTTGATATAAATTACTTGGTAGCAGGTGAGCCACCTAGATCAGTTGTTCTCAACGTTGAGAACAAACAAAGCTACAGTTTGTCTACTTGCTACTGGTTGCATTGGTCATTATGTTCTGAGCAGTTCAACAAAATGGATTCTTCCTCCTCAATTTGTTATATTTAAAGGAGTGAAATGTTTTTTAAAAAACTAAAAATGTTTTTAAGGTTTTTTTCTGAAAAAATCAACCTCATTTTGTGCAACAGCAATATATTTCCTGTTTTCCTAAATTGTTAATCATCAGATTCATCTTGCGACCCCTTAATGGGCTCTCAATTCCCAAAGAGGGACAATCATACAGGTAGATGATTTACACACCATAAATTTCTCCATGATCAGCCAGCAGGACACAGATTATTACACACAACAAAACACTGAAGCCTGTCTGTCCACTCCGCAAGTTGCCAAAGAGAATCAAACAAGTTGTTGACCTAGCAGTGACACAGCTCAAGAGCCACTAGAGAGGGCCTTAATAAGTATTCTTAAACAGAAGGATTAGCCAGATGGTCAGATCACTCTTTTCTCCAACCTCTCCCATCTGTGCATTTCATATGTCTCCTGCCTCTGTTGAAACCATCGAGATTGGCCACTGCGACCTCACCATCTTAATTTGGGTTAGTGTTACCTACAGCACTATTTGACTCCAGATATAATCTTTATTGCTCACAGAGTGAAAGTCCATTAAAAGGCATACTGTAGGTCTCTACGCTGAAAGGTTCCTGGAGTGATGCCTGTGAGACTCTTTAAAAGACCCCTTTCTTCACCCAAGTGAAAGCAGCTATTGAGGGTGCACAAGGCAGAATACTAACCGGAGTGGAGGTCTGCATTTGCTGTGAAACAAATCAAAAGCGTTCTGTATGTGCCGATGGAAGGGAGAGAGGCAGTGGACATGCATAGAGTCAGCTAGTGTATTGCTTACATGGACTCACACACACACATGCACTAACACTAGACTTTGCGTGCTGCTCTGCTAACACAACCACTGGTGCTAAATGTGATGTGTTCAAACACCAGCAAGAGTTGCTCCGTTACACTTTAAGGAAACAATAATGTGTTCTCTATGAAAGCTTCTTATCTGCCACTTGGTGGAAGCAATCATCAAAAGTGCCAAACAGTGATGCAAAAGCATACACAAGCTGGCAATGTTACAGTACAAGGAAATAAATAGAATTTGTGTCAATCAGTTAGGGAAACTTACAGAAATTAGACTTCAACTCCACCACCCTCTTCTCACTTGTGGCTGACTTTAAAATACATGAACGTCACCTGAAAAAGAGGAAAACAAAAGGAAATGATTATTAGAATGTTTGTTTAACAATAACTTTCGAGTGGTATGTCTGCTTTCGTCACCACTAATTAAAGAAAGAAAAAATGGCTTAATACCATCAGAGGTAAGTGAGAACATTGTAATTGGTAATTTGGGTGAACCAACCATTTAAAGGAAGAGTGCGTTGCCATAGGAATAAGGATATATTTGAATGAATACTGACAAATTCTTTGCAAACAGCCAACAAACTGAGGCTTGACAAAGTATGAAAATTTTAATTGGAAAGTATTTTTGGAGCCCAGTGAAAGACCCACCTGAGGTCCCTCTGTAGTGGCTGTTCACTACAGAACAGAGGTCCTGTGTGAAGTCTACAGCAGAGCCAACAGAGAATCAGTGTATTTCTCACACAGCACTTTCACTACGCACCGCAACGGCACACACTCAGCCCCGCAAAGTCTAACAAACAACAAACAGCATGATTCTTGCATGTAGCTTTGAAGTCGAAAAATTGGCCACAATCAGCCTTAATACAGTTAGTGCCTGATATTTTCTTTATGAAATTGATTCCAATAAGAGCAGGGGGGAAATCATTCTCATCAGATAGACAGCTAGTCATTCCTGGGCTGCGTGGCTTAAACAGACCACTCTGAGAGCTAACCTGGGGTCAGCCTTATTATAGCCTCACATGCACACAAGCACACAGTACAAACAGCCATTTGCTAAACCAGGGGTCATAGAAAACAAATAATAACATCAAAGAGGTCAAATGGCTGATGGAGCGCTTTGAAGGTACCATGTTCAGGATGGGACCGCCCCAAGTGGGCCCCAAATTGAGAGGATATGGGAGCTAGTCTCAATTGAGAGAGGGAGGACACTAATTAAAGAAAGAGCTGAACTGGACAGAGACTTAAAGAGAAAGGCTGTGTTCACACAGACGGACAACAAAAAACACCACAGCAGCATTTTTTTGACACTATGCATCATGACAGCGCCTTATCACAGCATCTAAGTTGTACAAAGAGCGCAATACAAACGTTCCTTTGATTCCACAATTTGAGGCTAATTGAGAACAATGAAGAAAAAAGCAAACACTGGGTATGTGTGATCTTTTATTCATGTCTTTAATCAACCAAATGATTCTCTCTTGGATGCATTTTTCTCTCAGGGCACAATTAAGGCGCAATTCTGACCAGAACTACTCAAAGGCTTATACACTAAGAAGTTCTTGTGATAATAATAATGATAGCAAATAGTCTGCTAAAAAATACACTTGTGTGAAACATCCCTGTAAACATTTCTCTAAGATGCAACTTCATCTTTCCCCCCCATTTTTTGTGGAAATATTAACCAACAAAAGCTGAAATGCCAAGGACTCTAAAAGCCACCTTTTCAATCGAACAGGCACTGTTCACACTCTGCGTCTCTCGATGACCCGTCTGAACACGTTCCAGATGTCTGCAGAACCAGTTATTCTGTTTCCCCTCCTTTCTTTTTACCCCCCCTCTCTTCCCTCCATTCCTCCGCTCCACACGCCCTGCCACTCATCTGCAGATGGCAGATCTGACACCTGGAGGATGCTGGGTAATCAGAGAGACAGCTGGCTGCCCAGTCAGGATAGTTGCCGCAAAACGCACATGCTCACACACACACACACACACAAACACACACACATGTGTACACACATACATTCAGTAACATTCAATTATGTACAGGCAAAAACTCACTTTCACACTAACATGCTTGAAAAGCCACGTACATATATGTGAATACAGTATACACTACTGCATATGGAATGTACTTCTACTTTGGTAAAATGTAGAATCAAGGTGTGGTGCAAGGTAAACGAGCATAACACAATCTTAAATAATACCGTGTTTTATAAGTTATCAGTTACAATATTGCAGTCATTGTGGCACTACATTTCAATACCTGCCCCTGTAGATTTCCAAGCTGTGCATATCAGCCCTCGGTGAGCAGCAATATCCGTTAAAATAAGGTCGGACAATAATTCAGTATGGTCATCATTTGGAAGTGGAATCATGTCGTCACAAAATGATAAATTCAGTTATTCAAATTAATAATTCCAAACTAATATAACAAAGTAACCTGTAAAAAATATTTTTTTTGCACATGTAAGTAGTTTTTTAAACATACATTTTATTGAACTGACTATCAGTGTGATGAGGGGGAGTGATATAGGAGTCCCAGGCTATAAAGCCATTCCAGCCTCCTTCTGACAACTGCAGGAAGTAACAGCTACCTTTTTGGCCCACTGTCCAACAGCTGTAAAATGGCACATGTTACCCCACCATTCAGCCAGCAGCGAAAAAAGCACCTGTCTGGAAAAGAAACTTGAAGCAGCAAAATGTAAGGCCAGAGACTTGCTTTTGGGAAAAGCAAAGCCGTGACATCATAGCATTACAGATAGGTAACCAGAGAGGTAAGAGATTTGGTGCACAACAAGATAATACACTGTATTATATTAAGAGCTATGTCTGCACCTGCACAGTGAATACACACATTCACGCTACAAAATATGCACAGTCCCAAATGTTGTCTTGTTGCAGCTGTCAATGCCACTTGTGCAGACGCGGACACACTGGAGTAAGAACAATGGAACTCTATGAGACAGAAGCTCTCTCAATGAGCTTAGCACCACATGAGGCTCTGTGCTGCCACTTCCATGTCTGCACCATAGGAAATGGAGTATGGTTCCAACTAATCATATGGGCAATTAAACCAGAATGAGGTTCAATTGACCCATAAATGATGAGCTTATAGCACACGTTGACTCTCAGAGGACCAGTGGCCATGTTGAGCAGGCCTCAATCTGTTTCTGTTGTTATTTCTCTGTGTTTTCTCTCGAGGGCTGCGAGTGAGCAACTTATGATCCTATCATCACTGAGCTATTATTTTACTGCATTTCACACTCGTGACTGATAGACTGCCAAACTTGAGACTTCTGAGGTCTCACACTAGTTGTTTTTGCTCAAAGCTCACACTTTGATCAGAGTAGCCAGATATCAGTACATATTTCAACAAAATATGTTTATAGAGTACTAATTTTGTTTTTTGTTTCTGTCTTAATTATATTACACTGGCAATGTTTTTTTTTTCAAAACCAGGCTTGAAATAGGGCTGTGCGATATGACGATATCTATCGTTTGACGATTAAAAAACATCTATTGTTTACAATTTTGCTCTATTGTTTATTTTGTTGTGTTGCAAATTCCAAACTTGACTGTAATATTTGGTTTCAATGGTAAACCACCACAACAACGACAATTAACAACAAACAATAGATTCTAAGGAGACACGTTTTATTAAAGTCAAATCATAAAGTAACATTTGTATTTCAAACAAATGGCAAACTTATTAGCACATTTTAACAAAACTCCCTTCACCCTCATGCATCATGGGAATTCTGAGGGACGGACGTAGGCTGCGTGTGCGCAGCGGTTTATTTACGGCATCAACGTCCACTGGAAGCCTCTCAGAAGCATTTCAGCAGCGAAGCGTGTATTCTGCCCCACTTTAATGACTTGTTTTTAATTGTCCTTTTTGTGCTTCTACAACATTCTTCAAAGCTCTCTGTGGATCGCTTTAGTTTCTAGTCTTGACGTGTGCATTTAGCAACTACCACAGGGAGCATTTCAGAATAAGAGCGTTTTACCTGCCGGACTTTGCCGACATGTTTAGATTTAGTTAATTTGGTTATTAGTGCTTGCTTTTTGTGCTTCTACTATGATTAAGTTGGGTACGTAGGAAAATTGTTTCTTTTTTGTCTGATTTAACTGTGTTTATTGTTGATATACGATCGGAGGTCTGTAACGGGTATTTTAATTTGAAAATTGACCGTTTCTCTGCCGTTTCTGTGTTTGACTTCCTACCCGGTTTATCTGAGCGGTGGTGCTTGATGCTGGGGTGCCTCCTGGACGCACTCAGTCTGTGGACGCACTGCACCGCTTAGTAGAAAGGCTGCTCCGGCAGCAGCGAAGCAGACAGACTCTGTGGGGTCATGTAAACTTGGTTAATATGACTTTGTAGCAGGTGGGTGCCGCCCCCGGTCAGTGAGGAAACGTCCACGGACATGCTGCTGTTGTAATGTTACCTGTTGTAGCAGGAGAGCTGTGAGCAGCAGGAAGTAGCGTCAGTTGTCAATTGGAAATTATCTATATCGGGATATGAATTTTTTGCCATATCGCACAGCCCAAGCTTGAAACAAACTACTTCATATGATGTGTTGTCCAAACACATTTAAAGGCAAAAGTGTAGTTTAGTGTGAATAGTTTATCTGAATGGCCACATTAGGTGGGGTGAAAAGCATGACATCATAGAGACGGTTAAGACACAATAATGGTTAAAATCGGTAAGATGGTGAACTCTTTCAGACAATCTCTGCCCAAAGGTATTCATAGTGTTGCACACACTATAAATGAGAAGGGGTGGAAGTAGTGGCTGGGTGAAGTGGGTGTGCTTGTCAGATAGTTGTTTCAGAAAGTTTTTTAAAAATTCAGACACAGCCCCCACAATTCCAGAGTCAGAAAGGTGTGGGAAGTGGGGGTTTTGGACACTGTTGACGATCCAACAAGCATACTCAGGTTGAGTCATAATGACCCCTTCATATAGACAGAGGTCAGACAGTTGTTGATTGTTTGGGTGTACAAAGTGCAGGACTTTGATCCCATGTGTGGCTGGGTTTAGGCTGCTAAAAGAGTTGCTTAGGGTGGGAGCAAGATAATGTTTCAATATAAATGTTTTGTGGTTAGATCATGTATAAAAAAGACACAGTTGTAGATATGCATGTGTGTGGGCAAACCGCTACTCACAACACCTTTGATAAGTGGAACAAGGGAAGGGGATGTTTGCATGAGTGAAAAGCCTTTGTGTTCTCTTCACAAAAGACATAGCACATTACAGGGGCTTAAGTGACATCATGTATTATCTTCCAAGTTGCTGTTAACATGAAATATTGCTAAAGTAAAGGGCGGGTGGGAGG